AAAAAAAAAAAAAAAAAAAGTGCTATTGATACGCATTTTCATGAGACCGGGCTCCGTATATGACGTTTTGGGTGTTAGTAGCCTTAAGAGAATTCGAACTTCTTCTTTTTTTTTCATTTGAGGATTCATTTAAAATGCTGACCCATCGTTTTAGGCTATACTATTGTATTTCTGCCAATAATCTAAATAAAACGTGCTTGATTTTTTCTAAGCAACTAGCAACATTAATACTTATCACATTTTACAAAGCAGTTATGTCACCAACAGAGGTCACTGTTAATGCAACTTAAACAAGGAGTGAGGGCGGAAGAAGCAAACACTGCAGTGAACTGTTTGGTTTTAGCGAGAAAAGTAAACTGGATCTCCTTTGAGCAGTAAAAAGGCGATTCCTCTCAAACAACTCAGCTGAAATATTCTGTCTCCAATCCCGTCTGCAGTAAGCCTAGAGAAATCAACCAGATGCAAAAGCACATGTCTCATATTCGTACGCACTGGGTCCGGCTATTGTTTACCTGATCAAACCGAGACTCGCCGAGTCTAAACGGAGGGCACTCAGTCGATGCAGGCATGGCAGGTGTTCCCAGATGCACAGTGCAGTCAATAAGGCTGTTTTACTGAGATCTCAAAGTTACGCAGAGTTCCCTCAGAGTGGTCGAGTATCCGTATCGATGCATTTTGGGTAATGTCGTTTTCTAACAGGTCAAAGGATATGTGTGATGAATTAACTTTTAAAGAGTAGCTTAAAAATTTGCCATGAACGTCAGTGAATCCTTGTTTTTCTTTTATTAATAAATTAGGTAATTTCAGCCACCACAACTATATCATGTGGTTCAGTTTAGTCATTATTATGACCTTGTTGTTACTGTACAGGGTGTGATTTGATTCATACCCTGTAATGTATTTACCCAAGATAGTCATTCCTCAAATAGCTTGTCTACATGCTGTGCAATATTTAATTTTGTCTCCTATTATATGGTCTAAAAATATCAGAAAGACGTAATTCAGTGTGAGCAAATCTAAATCGTTTTATTACTGAGGCAAATGCCATTTGGATATAGTTTGAAGCAAAATCACTAAAATAACTATATTTAATGCTCAATATACTAGTGTTGAAATAGTGGTTTAATTTTGAGGCGCTTGAGAGCTTTGTCTTCACGTCAAATAACGACAGTTAGAGATGCATCCCAAAGTGAAAAGTTTATTTCATCAACAGAGACCTTTTCTTAGCAGAGATGCTTAAGAGCACACCAAAAGTCGACTGAACATCTCTCAGATGAGGCATTTGATAAAAAAAAGAATACACCACAACCTCCAGTTGACACTCATGTTACTACACCCTGTGAACATCCAATCAAACAGCACCTCAGCGTTTTAGGCTATACTATTGTATTTCTGCCAATAATCTAAATAAAACGTGCTTGATTTTTTCTAAGCAACTAGCAACATTAATACTTATCACATTTTACAAAGCAGTTATGTCACCAACAGAGGTCACTGTTAATGCAACTTAAACAAGGAGTGAGGGCGGAAGAAGCAAACACTGCAGTGAACTGTTTGGTTTTAGCGAGAAAAGTAAACTGGATCTCTTTTGAGCAGTAAAAAGGCGATTCCTCTCAAACAACTCAGCTGAAATATTCTGTCTCCAATCCCGTCTGCAGTAAGCCTAGAGAAATCAACCAGATGCAAAAGCACATGTCTCATATTCGTACGCACTGGGTCCGGCTATTGTTTACCTGATCAAACCGAGACTCGCCGAGTCTAAACGGAGGGCACTCAGTCGATGCAGGCATGGCAGGTGTTCCCAGATGCACAGTGCTGTCAATAAGGCTGTTTTACTGAGATCTCAAAGTTACGCAGAGTTCCCTCAGAGTGGTCGAGTATCCGTATCGATGCATTTTGGGTAATGTCGTTTTCTAACAGGTCAAAGGATATGTGTGATGAATTAACTTTTAAAGAGTAGCTTAAAAATTTGCCATGAACGTCAGTGAATCCTTGTTTTTCTTTTATTAATAAATTAGGTAATTTCAGCCACCACAACTATATCATGTGGTTCAGTTTAGTCATTATTATGACCTTGTTGTTACTGTACAGGGTGTGATTTGATTCATACCCTGTAATGTATTTACCCAAGATAGTCATTCCTCAAATAGCTTGTCTACATGCTGTGCAATATTTAATTTTGTCTCCTATTATATGGTCTAAAAATATCAGAAAGACGTAATTCAGTGTGAGCAAATCTAAATCGTTTTATTACTGAGGCAAATGCCATTTGGATATAGTTTGAAGCAAAATCACTAAAATAACTATATTTAATGCTCAATATACTAGTGTTGAAATAGTGGTTTAATTTTGAGGCGCTTGAGAGCTTTGTCTTCACGTCAAATAACGACAGTTAGAGATGCATCCCAAAGTGAAAAGTTTATTTCATCAACAGAGACCTTTTCTTAGCAGAGATGCTTAAGAGCACACCAAAAGTCGACTGAACATCTCTCAGATGAGGCATTTGATAAAAAAAAGAATACACCACAACCTCCAGTTGACACTCATGTTACTACACCCTGTGAACATCCAATCAAACAGCACCTCAGGGAAGCACTTCGAATATTTTGCACCTAAAACAAATGGTTCCACTGAACACACCCTTCATGTTCGGTGCTTAAATGCTACTTGATACGTGAGGTTAATTTAAGCCATTCTTATTTTGATTGTGACAGGAATCCACTGAAATTTACACCAAAGGAGGAAGAGTTGAGCCTATAGTCTTAAGAATGAGGATTCGGGCATCAAGCCGCTTACTGATGCATTTCTACAACTTTAAAATAAACCCTTTGCAATTCTTTAAAAAAATATCTAGGTTTTAAATGAGCTTAAAAGAAAAAAAAAAAGACATTCCAGACTTCTAAAAAATAAAATGAAATGTAGTATAGTAAACAAAAGTTTTTATTTGCAAGTTCCAGAGTTTGTACTACATAAAATGTAGCTTTGATTATCATCTTCACCATTAAAAGCATACAAATCTTCTTCTGCACACACATCTCATGACATCTCATGATAACATTCAGCCAAGGGCACTTGAACACACCTTCTTACTAGGCTGCAGGCTGTGTGCGTTGGTGAATATTTATATAAACTGCTGTTCAACACAGTGCCAACCTAAGCACATATTTCATATTACATTCCATCTGTTTAGACCTAAAAAAGTATGAATCTCTTAATTTCTGCAAAAGCCTGGCCTTCACATCTATTGCTTTCTGTTACTACTGACCTTAATAATCACGAATCGATGTACACAAACAGCATTTAAAGGAAATGAGAAAATAAATGAACTGATCGTACAGACCTTCAGACCACCCAAAAGAAAAGATGACAAAAGACCTGGCCACAAAGCAAAAAAACAATAAAAAAAAAAAATAGATATTCGCATGATTAAAATGTAACACATTTTTGAAAAATTGTAAACTTTTACATTAAGCCTTAATAAATGAACATTCATTAATCCACCTTCAACAGTCCGAGCACATGAGTCCTTAAGTGCTTCTACTCAGAAATATGTTATTGATAGATCTTGAGCTTTAGGGACTAGCACTGAAACACCATGAATATCCTGTTTTTAGAGGAAGATTCGTTTGTGCAGTGAACGTGTGCGTTTGACTACGTGCACTTCCTAAGCTGTTGAGAAAGAACGGTTGTAAATGCCTCAGTGTGAGGTTTAAAAGTGCTGCGGCCTATGCCTCTATCACACATCTACATATAGTGCTACATTGTACACAGACAGTGGCAACACTGATAGTGGCGACACCATAGAAACACCAGAATTACATTACAGTAACATTAACAGAGCCGTTGCGGTATTGAGAATACTGTAACGTTAATTTAGAGCAAATCATTTCTGGCATTTGCTGTTTTCATGGCTTTCGTTCTCTCTTCAGATCCATTTGTTCATCTCGATACCTAACAGTCTTGGGAAAGTTTAACTTGAAACACTCCTCCGCCATTAGTTTTGTAATATAATGTGCAATCTAATTAAAAGTGATGAGTTCAGCGAGAACAGAATGGAGAAAATACTGTATGATAAGGCAGCATTTGGCATTTTGTCAGAGTGGCATATATGCATTGAATACAGTATATATCCCATTCATTACACCTGAAAGCACTGGCAGCGATGTATGTGCATTGGCTCAAGCAAAGGAAGGGAGAGGAAGGACACTGACCTACAAACCGAAGCGAGAAGGTCAGTTGGTGTGAGCCTCTACCCTTAAGCTCTTAAGTAAAGTGCGGAAGACATGTAGGGAGGCACAAGCAGATTCGAAACTGGCTGATTCTGCTCTCTTTCCTGCTTTCTACGTCTCACGCTCCCTCTCGGACGCTTTCAAGTGATCTCAAACTCGAAAAAACGGATCTCAAACACCCTAAATTTTTGTTCTCGGTTCAAGCAGCTGAGCGTTACATGTTAGAAAAACGTGATAGAAGAAACAAAAGATAAATCGATGTTTTTCTTCGTGCATTAAAAACCATTCACACTAGCACTAGAAGACTGGCATGTCACAGTCATGCCTTCCTTTCGATTGACAGGTGGTTTTGGTACATAGCTGGACTGGCATGTGTCTTAGTGACATGTCTAGTGAGTGAATATCAGCTGACACACGTCAAAATGGATCCTACCAGCTTTGAAGTTTAGCAGCAGAGTGCCGACCTTTAACCATCAAATGCAAACCTGCAGTCCATACGGACCCCAGCAGAGACCCAATTATTTCTGGACACAGTTAAGAACACCAAATCTACACCCTCTCCTCCATGCCCATAGCTCTCTACATTTATATGGTTGCTGTAGCAGTGCAGGGTTGTGATGTCCACCCAGGATTCGTGGAGGGATAGTGGAGGCGTTTGTTGTATCATTTCATCATAGAGCGGACCTGCAGCAGCGTGGGGGTCTGCTCCATGATGCGTACAAGAAGCGTGTCGATGTAATCCTCTAGATCTCTGATCAGGACCTTCATCTTCTTTAGCTCCGTCTCACGCTTCTCCAGCAGCGCCCCTCGCCTCTCGTACTCCTCCCGCTCCTGCCTGAGCTCAGTATCCCGCTGGATCAGCAAATTCACCAGCTCGCTGTGGTTCAGGTGATAGTACGTGCCTCCTCCCTCCACTAGCTGCTAAAACGAGAAAGACAAAAAAAAAGATTTACAAAAATATTTTGGAGTTGATTAAAAAAAAACACTTCTGGATTATGTTTGATTTGTGATCATGTTAATGAAAGAATTATTAGAAGCAGTGCTAGTAGTAACTGAACCAGTAGATGATGGTTTAATTTGATTTATATTTAAACATGGTCATTTTAGTCAATTCATTTACAAAGAAATTTCATCTAAATGTTAAAAAATTAAAAAATATCATGTCTGTGCATAATACGGTTTCTACAAATATAACAATCAGCACAAATGTTTTCAACAGTAATAAGAAATGCACCAAATCATCATATTAGAATGATTTCTGAAGGATCATGTGACACTGAAGACTGGAGTAATGATGCTGAAAATTCAGCTTTGCATCACAGTAATAAATTACATTAAAAAAATTGTAATAATATTTCACATTATTACTCTTTTTGCTTTTTTTATACAAATGCAGCTTTGGCGAGCATAAGAGACATTTTTCAAATATAT